CAGTTTAAGAGCTCTAAACTGAACTGACTGATAAGACGAGAGCTCTAAACTGACACTGAACTGACTGCCAAGCAATCAGTCAGTCAGTCAGTCTCATCAGTTTGGATTGATTGTTAGCAACTCTGACACGACGTCGGTGACGGCCGAATCGTCGGCAGTATCTGGGTCTGTGGCGTATATAATGTCGGCGGCGGCGGCGGCGAACGCATCCTCATCGCGCGCATACATGTCAATAGAGCCGTGAGGCATCTCCGTCTCCTCAGGCATGTTCCAGATACCACACTTGACGTGTGTCATCTTCTTGCCAAGGTCCGACGCCATCGGTTCGTCCGAGTAAGCCGCGTCCTTGGGCCTGATAGCGACAAGAAGCTTGCGACCAGCTCCGCAGCCGTTCTCGTAAAAGACACAGATGATGTCGTGTCGTAGAGACGTGTGTTTTACGTCGTGAGCCACGTGGTTGTTGAGCTTTTTACAACGGTTAGCAAGTCCCTCGTCAATATCCATGCTAGTAGTGCTACTGGTGATTTTGGCGATGAGTGGCAGATCTGCCTCGGAGGCAGTGTGGACGGCGACGTCAGAGGACGTATCCTCATCTCGTGCACTGACGTTAGGAAAGCCATAGATTCCACACTTGATGTGTGTGATCTGGCTGCCAACGTCCGATGAGATGGCCTGATCAAGGTATCCGAACATATTGGGTTTGAGGGTGAGGAGAGGAGCGCCATCGCAGTCGGATGCGAAGAATTGGCAGGCAGCAAAGTTATGCTGGGTCGTGTGCGTGACACGACGGCCGACGCGATCGCTGAGCCTGGTGCAGATGTACATGGAGTTTTCCTTGAGCTCGATACTGGTAATGTCGCTGGAGATCCTCGCAAGGAGATACTGCGTCTTGGTGGAGGTGGTGACTTCATTGGTATCCGCCCCGGTGGACTGATCGGTGGTCGTATCGAGAGTCACATCTTCGTTATGGGTTTCAAGCTCAAGCTCGCCAGCATCCCTCTTCCACTCGCCCCTTCGAAACAATGCGTACTTGAGGTCATTGCCAAACTCTGCGGGTGGCTCAAACCGATGAGACTTATCAATGGTCCTGGTGATATACCGTACATTGCCACTGCACCCGTTGCTGTCGTCGTAGAACTTGCACATCAATCCCGCCTTCTGGACGATGATGGTGACATGATGCGCAACATTTGGAGAAAGCTGCACACACGTATCTATCCACCTCTTTGGAAAAGCGTTGCCGTAGGAATCCTCAGTGCAGATATTCAGAAAGTGGTTCCTGGAGTCGGGTGTGATGCAGTTGGAGACTGGAGAGACGAGTGCTCGGCTTTCGTCGGGCTGAACGAAAGAGTCAAGGTCAGGAGAGGAGTCATGCGCCCCTCTGGCCTCAATCTCAGCAGCATCTCCCATCTGTTTTCTCCTGCACATTACAAACTCAGCCCGCTTACCGAACGGGGCAGGGATGTCGGTATGGCGGTTAACGGTAGCGATCATATGCTCGCTATTGCAGTGGTTACTGCCATCGTAGAAAAAGCAGATGATACCGTCTGATTGAGACGTATCAATGACTTCATGTGCAACAGCGTGACTAAGGGCCGTGCAATGGTTCAGTAAGTTGACACCCAGAAGGTTGGTGATGACGTGCCTGCCGCAGACATGAATAAGCCATTTTTCGGGGTCTAAGGTACTGCATTGAGGGGCCGCTCCAGGCAAGAGATTGGACTCGATCGTGGGTTGAGAGACGTTGGGGACGAGCTGGACGGCGGAGGACTGTGGTGTGGGCGCAGCGATGGCAAGACCAACGAGGCCGAGCAAACCAGCGAGGAGATTATGAACTCGCATGATCACTACTGCGGGAGGTTTTTCTAACGGTTCTGTAGCTTATTGCAAATGAACAAGTCACTTACCCTGTCCAATCAGTCGCTGGACCGACCGAAACAGCGGGGAACTGAGTTGGCTATAGTGTCAGCTCTAGAGCTACCGAATAGTCCTGTTAGTGGCTTCGACAGCCAAGTTGAGAAAAGAAGTAGAGTAAAAAGAGAGTAGGTGGAAGAGAAAGAAGTAGGAGAGGAAAACGAGGGAATTGATATAGAGCGACAGCGAGGCCAAAGAGGGCGGTCGATAGGCGCGCTCTTACCCTGTGAGTGACAAACGGAGCTTCGACCAGTAGGGGAAACACGATGCGAGTGAAAAGTAAGAGGGGCAGCGAGATGAGAGTGCGTGATGGTCAGGTAGACCCATCCATTCAACCATGGTATTGCAATGACCCATGAGTGACCAGCCACTCTCAACTTCATACTAGTAGCCTGCGTTGAAGCACTGCTCATGGTTCGCGGCATCGCAACAGGAACATAGTCTTTGATTGTACCCAACAAATCGAGCTCCAAACGAGTGACATGAAAAGGGAAGCAGCAGATAGGAGACAGACAAGAGACATCCAGCATCACCAAAGTAATGGAAGAAAGGACGACGAACTGATTTCCCTCCTTCCCCTCCTATATTCAAACATAGCCTGCGTCTGCGAGATGCTAGATGCTATATAGAACGCCTCTGCGCTACGAGGCTTAGGGGAATCAGCGGAGGAGACAGAGGAGAGAGAGAGAGAGAGAGAGAAAAACGTCCACTATCCTCCCCTCCGCCTCCCCCAGTCCACCAAACCCCACACATTGCCTCCCTTCTACGGATCAAGATCCCGATTAATATTATACTGCCGATAGCCAAATCCATCCATAGTGACCCAATGGCCCAGGGCCTCCATCTCAGCCCACACCTCAGGATACCTCTTCTTGATCCACTCCTCGACCCTGCGCTGCCTCTCGATATTCGCCGTGCAATTAAACCAGCCACCCAGACTAATTTTGTCTTTCGTTAGCAAAAAACTTATCCTCTGAACCATCCCAAGAAAAAAACGCAGTTTGGGTGAGAAGAAGGGGAGAAAAAAAAACAAAGAACTCACATATCCAAATCCGGTCTCCACCCCCAATCCTCCTCCACACTCTCAACCAACTGCAACGCCTCATCATGATTATGATTCCTCGCCACAGCACACAAATATGCCGTCCAAATCCTCTTATCAATCTCAACATCCTGCTCCCTCAGCCTCTTCCAAATCGCCCTCGCATGCTCACCTCCAGCGTGCGTCCCCTCGGTCGCTCTAAACGCAATCGCCAGACTATTATAACTCGGCCCTTCTCTCGACTCGCAAATCTCGCGCCAAAAGCCGAGTGCTTTACGGTTCTCGCCCGTCGCCGCATACGCCAGCATGAGGGCGTTGCGCAGCTGGGTATCCATTTCGACATTGAGGTCGAGTTTGAGTTGGTTGTGCGCGAGTTCGAGCGACTCGGCGTCCTGGCAGCGTGCGAATCCGGTGAAGGCTGCAATGTAGACGTCGCGGGTTGCCGTGTGTGTTGGGGAAACGTGGTTGCGCATGTGGAAGAAGACGTGGCATGCCATGTCGGAACGGTTGCGACTGAAGAACTCGTTCATGATGGGAATGCGGACTTCTCGGGGTGTTTCGGGGAAGACGTTGCGTAGGATTTGGTATCCGTCCCAGGCATCTGCTGTGCTGGTTTCGCCGTCGTGGATGAAGACGCGAAGCGCGTCCTGGATGGTTGTCCGCTGTTCGGGGGAGTACTGGTGTGCGTGCACTTGGAGGAGGTCCATGGCGTCATGGATTTCCCCTCTCCGGAGATGAAGAAGGGTAAGTGCTGCGACAGTCTCTGGTTCAAAGTTGGCTTTGCGCTCATGAAGGTCGTCGACCATGGCCATGAGCTCATCAAAGTGATGTTGTTTCGATACGCAGAGGACGCGGATTAGTTCGTTGATGACTGCAACACTACGCTTATCGCCGGAAAAGAAGCCTTGTAGGTTGAAGTAGGCAGCCCTAGCCCCATCGAGGTCTCCAACGGAGATGCGGTACTGCATCTGCATCATATAGGTGATCTCGTCTGGGTGGATCCCGCGCTTTTCTCCTAGGACAATGTAGCGCTCGGCCATGTACGGGTCTTGTTTCGACATGCAATGCTCTACCAAGGTATTGATAGTTGTAGTGTCTGGCCGTATCACGGGGGTGGTCGGGTCCTTGCGCCGTGCTTCGTCATTCCGGCGTACTAGAACATCCATCATGCGTGCGATTTCGTCTGGCCCTTTGCCAATAGCGACGGACCAGAGAAAGATTGCGTCCCATGAATCTTTGGATGGCATGTCATCTTTGAGCATAGTTGCGATTACCTGCTGACCAAAGGTCAAATCGCCCTCTGCGGCACAAGCCTTGAGCAGTGCAGAGCTGGTGCTCCCCAATGGCTGCGTAGGCTCCTGGTTGAGTTTGGTGTAAACAGGCTGGGCATACCAGAACTTGGCCTTGTCCAGGTCTCTACGCTCAGCGTAGAATGACACAAGTTTGTTTTGAGCGGGTTTGGTCAAGGGCATTAAGGCCTCTTTGAAAGCATCAACAGTCTTGGATACCTCGTTCAAATCGCCCTCGCGGGTGACTCCTCCAAGTATGGTGTGCCAGGCAGCCAGTATGGTATGACGTACCCGAGAACTTGCAGTTGCGTCGTATTTGAACGCGTGCACCGCCATGTCTCTCGCTTCGGTAGTCGCGCCGAACAAAGATAGCACTTGGATCTGTTTCCACTTGGTGTACATGTCGAGTGGGATGCCCATGTGTTCCAATTTCTTCTTCTTCTCATCCGCCCCCTTGTCTGACTGCTGCTCCATCAACTTGGCCATCTGATCGACGACAAGCCGACCGAACATAATGTGCGCATTGCCCAAAACTTCGGGCCGCTTTGAAGTATCCAGCAGGTTCTCCATAACATTCTCAAGATCGTGCCTATTCAACCACGGCTGCTTGTCTTCTCTTGGATTTGCCAGCAGATATTGAAAGGCTTGATGTGCGCTCGCTACGTGCCAGTCCTCGAAGGTGCCTTTTCTCTGCGCAAAGAAGTCTTTGATTGCATCTGCAACCTCGCTCGGTTTCGGCGGCCTGACGGAATTCGCCTGCGCATATGACACCTCGGCCATCTTGCTCAGTCCGGGCGGGGCCTCTGCAGGCTTGAGCTTCCGACGCTGTTTGAACAAATCTCCAAAGAAGGTCCGGCGCTGGGTTTGTGGGAGCGAGCGGGCGCCGTGCTGTGTGACTACGCGGGGTCGAAGGGCTCGGTAGCGACATCCTCGGTATAGCAGCGGCTCGTTGGCGATGATGTTGCGGAAAACGACGCGGGTCAGGTGTGAGGGCATGGCGGCGAAGTTGGTCAAGTGGTGGACAAAAAGTGTAGTGACGTAACTGTTTGGGTGCAATTGGCGCACCGAGGAAGATTGTATCTACACGAACAGGGTATCCATGGGCGGAGGAATAGTATCTACACGAAGAAGACGAGACGGAAGTAGAGCGCGGGGGTCAAGGTGCAAGTGAGGGGAGCATTGCGGGAAGCTCTTCTCTGCCGTGAAATCATATGGCGCTAAGAAAGTCCAACCTCCGACCACCGAGGCCGCTCCGCATCGCATCCCGAAAAGTCACCACGACGACGACAACGGCGACACACCACCTGCCAACATGTCCGTGATGCGATTACCACTTCGGCCCCTACCCTCGGCAGGCAGGACCTGCATGCGCTACTTCTCTTCGGCCTCGAAGAAGCAAGGTGAGCCGACAATCCCCTCAATTCCACACACTCACACATGAATCTAACACCACCCACAGAAGACGTCCTCGATATCCTCAAAACCTCCACCGCCGGCCGCCACCCTTCCAACACCGGTGCTCCATTCCCTTCGAGTTCCCCATCCAAGTCCCCATCCAAGTCCCCGTCCACGCCCCCTCCCACCTCCGCCTTGTCGCGCTTCGCCCGCGGCGCCGGTCTCGACAGCACCACGCCCTCGCGCGAGCTCGCCGAATCCGAACGCATAGCCCAGTACCAGCGCCAGATATACCGCAAATGGCAGCCCGGCGACGTGTACGCGCCACACGACCTCAGCGGGACCGAGCAGAAGAAGTGGAAGTACGGGCGCAAGAAGCCGCAGCAAGATGCTTTTGATGTATTGGGCATCAATCCCGTCTTGGAGTACAAGAACTTTACCATGATGTCCGAGTACATGACTGAGATGGGCCGGATAAAGCATTCAAAGGATACGGGCTTACGGCCTAAGAATCAGAGGAAGATTGCCAAGGCGATACGGAGGGCGGTTGGGTTGGGGCTTATGCCTAGTGTGCATAGGCATCCGTTGGTGTTGAAGAAGAGTTCGCCAACTAGATTCTTGTAAGAGAGGGGTTGATGTATGATAACAAAGGAAACCTCATAGGTATATATGGCAGCATAGCAGTATATCGTTCATCTGAGTTGTGGTACCACGTGCGTTACGAGGAACATGACCTCTTCGGGCTTGAAAAGGAGACGATTTGCGCCAGAGACGAGGGAGACGTCCACCCACTCAGCTCAATTGATAGACTTGATACTTTGGCAAGAAGAATTAATTCTTCTTTACTTGCTAATCTAGCTAATAACCCGTCTGGTTCTTTCCTTGCTTCTCAATCCACATCTTGATCATCTTCTGCTGCGCACTCACAATCTCCATGGCATGATCGTCATCGTACAAATCATACCACCCAGGACTCTCATGCGGTGGGTCGCCCGCCCACACCATCCCAAACTCATTCGCAAGCTGTGTCTCAGGTCTCCAGATACCGCCGTAAGCCCAGGGCGAGGTACCAATGTACGCGCCGCCATTACGAAACTCGTCCATGACGGCGCCAATAATGGTAGTAAAGTAAGCATCTTTATGCGTCGTCGAAGCCGTCGACAGATACGGATACTCTCTATCCTCATTCTCCCAATTATCCCTCGCCATGCCGAATTCCTCGAGGAAAACCGGTTTACCAATGTCCTTGGCCCACGAGCTCGAATTCTTCATAAAGGCACGCGCAAAGTCTTGTGCAGCGACGAGATTGGCGTCGGTGGCGTTGTACATGTCGTACACGCCCCAGTTCTGCACCCAGCAGTGCGTCGTGGCGTAGTCGACGGTGGAAAAGTTGTTCACCCGCTTGAAGTAGTATTCGCCTTGCTTGGCTTCGAGACCCACGCTGATGAGCTGCTTGGGGCCTAGAGACCGGATGTAGGCTGATATGCGGTCGACCCAGGGGAAGAGCAGGTCGTCGGGATTCGGCTCCAGGAAGATGTTGTATGGGCCTGTGTACCCCAGTTCATCACTCGGCTGGGGTTCATTGGCGAGTTGCCAGGTCATGATGGTCGGATCTTCGGTATATAAGCGCCCGGTAATGGTGTTGCGTCGGCTCATGACGGTTTTGATGTGGTCTTTGTACCACGTCTCGGCTTGCGTGTTGTTGTAGATCAAGTTGGCGAAGCGCGTAAAGTTACTGTATGGAGCCGCGTTCACGCCTTCTTCGGTGTAGTTTCCCCATCCCGTTCCAGGTGTTTCGCGCTGCGGCGGTGCGGTCAGATTCCAGGACTCTGGGTAGGGAATCGCCGTGTTGTTGTTGGCCCAGGAGACGTATTGGGCGAAGCCGCCGCTCCATTGCCATTCGTTGTTCAACGTCATGGTGGCGCGCATACCGCGTTTTGACATCTCCGCCAGGCAGATGTCGAGACCTGTGAAGACGTCTTCGTTATACTGGCCCGGGGCGGACATGAGCGGCGGGTTCATTCTAAATGGCTGTGGAGTTGGAGCGCCTTCTGATGCGGCCATGATACGCAGGTGGTTTATGCCTTTGGATGCCATTTGGTCGAGCTCTGTGACTAGGCGCGAGTAGTTGCCGCCTGCGGATGGACCTGCGGCGAGATTCATACAAGCCCAGTAGTTGATACCTTGATCATGGTCAGTCTGTGGCTTCAAGAGACCTGAAGACGATATTACCAGTAAGATAGTATAATCCATCGTCATTATACAATCGCAGTCCATCCACATAGACAAAGTCGTCGTCTGGAATTGCACTGTCATTACCTCCTCTCGGAAGCACAGAGCCCGCAGCCAGCGAGGCGAACAACACCTGAAGAGCTGCTTTCATCTCGAGAACCCAAAGATGCTAAGAATGTGGCTTGGACACAAGCATACGACAAAGGATCACATCGAAGCTTATATGCCCATCCGCGCAACCCGAGGCTCCGGTCCGACTATGCGAGTACCCGTGAATATCGCCTGCGGTTGACATCATATGCGGAGGAAGAACGCCCCGACGATGCGACCTTCTCCATTGGAGTGGAGATCATCGCTCTCTGCTGGAACGAGGTCTATAGGTAAGTTTTTCCGGAAATATGTAAACATACGTAGTGAAGGTAGGGATACTGCTTCCGGTGCGTGGATCCCCGTTGTAGTCTCGGAGTGTGGGTCTCCGTGATGGCTTGGGGATAGTGCGGATGCGGCTGGGGTTCGTGCAGGTAGCAGTTGCCAAGCTCCGAGTGCCGATGCAGACATGTTAGGGAGCAGTCCGTGCACGTACGCGTCTCGGTAGCTCAGCGAGGCAAGCTTCTTCATCGCGATCTTGGTCGCGGCCCAGCTCAACAGGCACACCACTAATCCGCCAACATGGACATGGACGACGAGGAAAACGACGAGATAGCAGCAGCTATGGGGTTTGCTTCGTTTGGCGGTACGAAGAAACGTAAATTCGACCACTCGCCCAAAGCCAAGCCCGATGCGAATGATGCGAGCGGTGCCAACTCGACTGCACTGGGCGTGAGAACAAAAAAGGTGGCGAGTGCAGAAGATGTCAAGAGTGAGAAACTGCAGGCCCAAAGTAATACGCTGGGTAAACAAAAGAAGAATCAAACGGCAGATGCAGGTCTTGCCAGCTTCCTAGCACGTGGCCAAAATCTTCCTGAACACGCGCTTCCGACCGCAAGTGCTCAAGCTCCGGCAGCTTCAGCCGATCAATCTGCTGGGGAGATGGTGTCTTTTGGCGGTCCTTCAGTTTCTCGGGCAGAGTTGAATATGCTGCGCAACGGTGTCAGGACGGAGAATGGAGATACAGCGTACTTCCTGTCCAGCTTTGTTGAAGACCCTTGGGCGAGGTTGAGGAAAGGGGGGAGTGGATGAGTGAGTTTCTTATAGACCTGTATGAGTAGTGTTGGGTACTGACCGTGAAGGGTAGGCGGATGTGAACTGAGGTCTTTATGTTCAACTGCTTAGAAGACTGTCACAGTTGCGCGCTGTAATCGAACAACATCTGGCACCTATGGACGTGCGCATGTACGGACTTTTGTCTTCATCATCCTTGATTCTCCGCTTCTCCAAGAAGCAGCAAAGGTTTCAACGGCCGATACGCCTTGTATGATTCAGCAATGCATTCAGATAGTAACCACGTGGAAGGACAGCGTCCAGGCGTGGGCATACGCGTCTGTAACGATTAACTGCTAGCATGAACACGAGCGCGGAGCAAGTATATTTTGGGTCGGAGTTTTCCAACGAACCTAGCGTAAGGCGTAGTTGACATGTGCGCTATCCCTTCTTTCGTTAGCATCAGAATAACTTAGCGTGTCCCTGGAAACCGACCTTCCTACCCCGCAAACTCTCTCTTCATGCTCGTAAAGTTCAAGGAATCGTCAACATGGATAGTGCAGCAGATCTGGATGCTTTCTTCGCCTTCCAGGATAACCAGTTCGGCTCAGATCAAACCTTGGACGATGGCACTTTCGCTGGTTTGTCCGAAGCACTGGCAGCTTCTAACGCTGCATCCTGTCAGTATAACGAAAACTGGATGATGGATTCGTCGCTTTTGGATCTATCGAACAACTCTACTGCATCTTCGTCGCCCTTTCCTACGCCAAGCGCTTCAATCTCCAGACCCAAACTCGGCAGCCGCTTCTCCAGAGAAGTCATCCGTACGCTCAAAGATTGGCTTTCTGTTCATCAAAAGCACCCTTACCCTACTGAGAGTGAGATGCTGGCCCTCCAGGATCGTACGGGATTGAACAAGGCGCAGCTCACGAACTGGTTTGCGAATGCCCGTCGACGTGGCAAAGTGCAGAGCGTTCGACCGACCTCGCCGCAAGTAAAGAACTCACCCACCTCTCCCATCGATATCATCCCGAGACCTGGCACACCTGCTATCAAAATGGCATCGAACCACAAAGATCCGATGCAGCGCTGGGTAGAGTCGCCACCAGAACATGAACCTGCGGCTGTTGGCGATATCGCTCGTGCCATGGCTTCCACTTCACGTGAGTCATCTTGTCAACCTTGCAACCACTGCGCTTTGTCTGGTTCAGTGAGAGTTTCGTACTAACTGTGCTCAGGTGAAGATGCTGGAGGTTTTGCATACCATCAGCCATGGCAGTCACCATATGCCATATCCTCAGCAAGCAGTGCAAGAACGTCCCAATCGAGTGAATTTTCAGGCCATTGCTCATCAGGATCCCAAAACTCTCTCAAAATGCGTCGTGCTCCACGCAAGAAAAGGGTCGCCCGACGTCGACGTCTGGAACCAGAGATTACCCTGCCTATCAGCATGCCGTACCAATGCACCTTCTGCACGGAAGTCTTCAAGACCAAATACGACTGGCAGCGTCACGAAAAGTCGCTCCATTTACCACTCGAGCGATGGATTTGCGCGCTTCAGGGCCCTCGTACTACCAAGGAGTCGCTCGGAGAGCAGTGTTGTGTCTTTTGCGGCGAGGTTCGGCCGGATGACGCACATATTGAAGCGCACCACTACTCGGCATGTCAGGAGAGAAGTCTCCAGGAGCGCACATTTCACCGCAAAGACCACCTAGTCCAGCACCTCCGCTTAGTGCATGGCGTCGAGTTCTCGGATTGGTCCATGGCCCGCTGGATGCTGCCTATACCTGACGTCAGGTCAAGATGCGGATTCTGTGGCATCACAATGAGTACATGGTCGGAAAGAACCGATCATATTGCTGATCACTTCAAGTCTGGTGTGACAATGGCCAGTTGGCAAGGTGATTGGGGGTTCGACGCGTCTGTTGTACCATTAGTCGAGACCGCTATTCCTCCTGGTACGATACTGCTCGGCTGGTCTTTGGAAATTCTATCAAACTGACATCACTCTAGATCTCATCGATTGGGAAAGAGGTACTCTTATTCCTATGAAAGGTAGCGATCCATCTTGGGGTACCCCGCCAAACGCATACGAGCTGCTCAAAGTTGAGACCGAGTTCTTCATTCAGCGCTATTTCGACAAGCACGGCCACCTACCAGACAACGATACTATGCAGCTGGAAGCTTGTCGCATCATCTTCGCGGCCGAGACTACTTCGGTCATGCCAGATCGTCTTAATGAGGTTTCATGGCTTCGAGACCTGATGATGTCTTCTCCTGAGTTGACCGAGCGCGCAAGGTTCCAGCCCGTCCGATCCTCCCGCGAGAGCAGGCATTTTCCGCTACGGATAAATGCCAAAGACCATCTATTCGAACAATGCCCTTTGGAGGCGCAACTCCGTGGCTTCGTCACCCAGCGCACTGCGGCAGGGGAAAGTCTCGACGACGTACAACTGTACAACGAAGCATGCCAGATCATTCGACGCATGGAACAAGAGTCTAGCACACCATCCGACGTGTTTGCGAACTGGATCGTCAAAGGCATCTACTCTGGCACAAACTGGATTTTGCCCTTCAAGCAACGCGCTGCTATATATGATACCGTCACCACCGATTTCCCAACAGAAAGCGACTCGACTCAGTTACTAAACCTCTCCTGGCCAAACTCACCTTACAAAGAAGCATCAATCTCCGCCCTCGGCACCGCAAGTCCATCCAAACAGACACACGACTTCTTCACCTCCTCCCTCCCCGCTTTCCCAGAAGACACGCCGCCTCCTCCCATGCTGCCTGAATCGACGACTACCGCCACGCAGGTAGACATGTACGGTCGCTTGCGCTCTTTGCTACCTGATGATACCAATTTTTACCGCATCTTCGATAGCGATATGAGGCGGTGGGCGGCGTCGACGCTCTCGCCCAAGAATCCGAATTGTCATGTTCCGAGCGATGAGGAGATTCAGCATCAGGCGAGGTGGATCATGTATGATGGGGATGATCCGTGGAATCAGACGCCGGCGGATTTTCCGAATTGGTTGTTGAGGTTTAAGAGGGAGGTGGGGATTGGGGGTGGTGCTGGGGGTGGTGCTGGGGAGGCGGTGAAGTTGGGGGATTTGGTGGGGTAGTGGATGGGATGCTCGTAATTGGTCTACTTCCTCCAAGCCCTTTCGCCTTTGTAGTGTAGGATGTGCTCGTGCACAGTCATGCGGGATCAGGGCTAGTTCTCAGATGTCGTGTCGTCGAACAATGCAATGACCACTCTTTGTCTTAAATGTCCAGACTTTTTTCTTAGGTCGCAGACCTGAATAGTCAGTCAGAATCTTCCCAGTCTGAATCTCCCTCGTTTGCATGTATTTCCAGTTGGGTCGATGGTGACCAATTCTCCAGAGCTTTTGCAAGCGCTATGTGACCATTGATCCTGGCAGTCTCGATGACGGTTGGACCAAATTCGCGGTATCTCTTCCATCTTTCAACGATCGGGATGTTGACTGGACTGCTGATGTCTTCATTGCGCGCACCGTTTTGCAAGAGAAAGTCGAGTAGTTTGGTATGATTCCAGGCGGCGGCCGAATGTAGCGTGAGAGGTGTGATAACGGCACCTCTCTCAACCAAGAATTTGACGCTCTTTATGTTCCGTTCATCCTCCTGCTGCTGAGCTGTTGTATGACACGCCGCTTCGAGACTTGTAAAACCCCCATTTTCCGGACGTGGCTCGTTGACATCCACGCCGTGCTCTTCGACGAGAAAGCTCATTATACGAAAACTTTCTTCAACTTCATCGTCGCACCTGGAAGCGGCTTTCTGGAGCGCGCTCCGGCCGTATCTTCCCTTGCCAGGAAGATGAACATCGGAGCCCAGACGTACGAGTTCAGTGACTAGATCGAGGTCATATCTCTGTGAAGCCTGCTGTAATGCAGTAGGTTGAGAACCTTCGGAGCCAGGTATATCAAAGCGAGCTCCGTAGGTAACCAGCAGGTCTAACATATCGATGGACTCTACTGAATGCAGAGGGGCGGGGCCGTTGGCACAAGCATTGACGTCTAGGCCTTTCTCAAGAAGGCGCTGTGCCATGTCTAGCTGATCCCATGATATAGCTTTTTTCAAAGCAAACAAGCCAGCGTGCCCTTGTATGTTTGCCCCATTCTCAATCAGAAGGTTGAGCATCCCGAGACTATCTAGCGTAACCGCAGCCGATAATGCGGTATATTCCAGCTCCTCTCTGCCTGGTTCATTGATGTCTGCACCCTGGTCGAGAAGTTTCTTAACAATCCCCAAATGGCCTGACGAAACAGCATAAGCTAGAAGGCTAATTCCACCGTCCGAACGAATATCTTCAATAACTTGAGCACCTTTCTCCAGTAATATATCTACGATTCTTTCGTTTCCACACTGGCATGATGCTTCCAGTGCTGTTCTGCCGTAGGTTATGCTAGGAGCAGCATTGACGTCTGCACCCTGTGAGATCAGTAGCCTAACGATAGCTTCCTGGTTTTTACTCTCTGGAGAATCGATTTTGATAGAGCAGGCTTGTTGCAAAGCCGTCCAACCTCGATAATTTCTTGTGTCTGGATCGGTATCGGTTTTCAGTAGTATCTGTCGGACCCAGTGGAGATCTCCTTGGCCAACTGCCTGAATCAAGGGAAGCCTTGATTGACCAAAGTTGCTCCAGTGATAATAAAACGATGGGACTAGGTACACCGCAATTTCATGAACGCGTCGAATATATCTGGCCTCCATATCACCGTTGGGTGGTATCGTAGGTGCGTAGCCTATAGGTGGTAGATGAAGTATTGTACGTGGAATTGGAACATCCGGCCAATCTTCACGATGAGCCGACATCGCTGATTCTTTAAGGAGCTCTCGCACAGACTTCTTGAAGTTCATGTCACAATTCGCGCTGTGGGGGTCAGCTAAAGTCTGTAAGTCCAGAGTATGTACCTACCATTTTCTAAACCGCCGACCAGGAGTTGCGAAACCGCATCGTGGGCAAGTTTCCAGGGTTTGAACGGAAGCGACTAAGGAGTCCCTTGGAGCATTAACAGTTTTTATACGCAATATGTTCATTAGAAGCTTAGCTCCAGGTTGAACAGCATTCGAAGAAGAACGATAATTTCTTATTCGAGGCGTGTCAACGCGGCCCTCGAAGATTGTCAGCTGATTTTGCTTGTCAACGAGCTCGAAATTGCCGTCCACTACTTCCTTCAACCCGGGGTGATCAGAGAACATGATTCTCATGGTGTCTTTCAACGTTTGTCTTGTACGACAAAGCATGATTGGGAGGACTAATGGCCTACCCAACACGTCCTCGATGTGAACATGCGAAGAGAGGACGTCTCCTTCCCATGGATATCCGAGCATTTTGGGCATCATCTTCTGCGTGGTTTGGACCGTGTCGTATATCGCTGCCACTGTGACGGAGATTTGATTGGCTTGTCCTCGAGACTCTTCCGCAAAGTTAGTCTCAGTTTGACTACATGTCCAAAAGTCAGCATCTGTGCTTCAGTGTCCGAGTATCTCTCATATGTTGATTGCGAGGAGGTAGCGATCGAAGGCGTCCATGTGCGTGCTTAACCTTCGCTCCAAACGCTGGCTATCTTCTACACTGTAGAGTGACCATTTGAGTTTCCGCAATGCAACTTTCGCTTTAGAACCTTGGCAGTTCGGCAAGCTTTGAGTGTACTTCCGAGAGTCCATCTACCCGTTTGGTGAGTGTTATCGATAGATTGAACCGACTTCAGTATACGGGTTACATACAGCGAATTCGTTCAGCAGCTTGTGACAGCGTCCAGCATGGAATAAAATACCATTCATGAAAGCTGGATCCACCCGCGAAGATGCCCTAACAGGTAAAGTCGATATGAAGTTACTGATGAGATCAAGAGATGTCTTCAGAGAACCGAGGAGCTCAACCAATGAACGGAAGTCCGCAGAAGCACCCCGGCAGTCACTCAGAGCAATCGCTATGTCGTGAGCCAGCTTTCCTACAGCGATGAGATCTCCCACCGAAAACCCGAATCCTACTGCCATGCTGAAGTGCTTGGCCACTTCGCTGCTCACGATTTTGCGGTACGTTGATGTGCGCGAGGCTGAGACACGTTGATGTTTGTAGGGTAGAGATATGTCGCTGTACACGAGGCTGAGATACGTCTCTATCCTCGAGGTTGTGCCAAAGTATGTTCTGAGTGTTGCGCAACGTTCTTGTGGCTTTCACGCTCGCAAAAAATGCGCTTCCATGTGACTGGAGACCGAACGCTGTCGCAGTTCTCGATACTAGGCAGCGCGTTATATCGGTTGGAAAGAGGTGGCGCAGTCAGCTATACACAAAGCGCTTACTCCTGCACCCTCATATGCTGCCCACTCCCCACGCTGTTGATGTGGCCTCGTCCGTGTGGTCTATTGGTCCCCAAACCACCACAATCATTTGTGGCTGTGAGTGCGAATCCAGCTGGACATACCAGCTCCCTTCTCGGTCTAGCTAAAGGTGACATATCAACGCCACACAGTGGATCTCTGGTAGGTCGTGTCGACATCCTCATCAAGAGCGCAAGCGGCACCGGTCACGACTGAAGTTAGTTAACAGGAACAGAACAGGACGTTGTGCGCAGCATGCAGAGTGCAGAGCGCAGATCGGAGCGTAGAGTGAGGGCGCGACGGATGCGTGTGTCAGTGCGCGGTGACGATCGTGTCTTAGCGCGGGGCAAGAGCGCCCCATACATGTACACAGCATTTCAGCCTCGTACTGAAATCTCCAAGGTATCACCTCTTATGAAAGTATGGTGACCCAGTCATTGCTCTGGTCATGGCAGTTCGTATTAAGACTAGGTGGCTATGGGCTTTAAAATGTCCAAGGCAGAAGAGTTGGGCGCAAAGCAGGATCGTTGTTGCACCCTGGTCTGATTGGTAAATTGCGAAAAAGCATGGTGACACAGCATGGCGAGGCTGTGCAGAGAGCGCCGCTTATCAACTGGAGATATGCCGCTTTCCAGTGGGTGCTGTTCTCTCTTCGCAAGCAATGTATATTGCCTTTACACTATAGCCCAACACTTTGTGCCACTTCATCTCCTCCTTGCCGCCGGCACAGGCACGTCCATGCGATCCTGATTTGTCGCACCTTGCATCCTTCTTTCTGCTGTCTATTCAACACCTTTCTCGTTTGGATTGCGATCTTTGGAAGCATTACAATGAACAGTATCTATGAAGCGGTGCCATTAGATCGAGACATTTCTAGCACGAACATTCGAGTCATTGGAAATCTGGTCCGTGATGAAGAGGGACGGATATCTTGCAAACTTCGGACGATATCTCTTGAATGGAAGGACGATGAACAAAGGAGCCAAAGACCCGAAAGCTACCTAGCTCTGTCATACACATGGGGTTCACCAAACGCGGGGAAGTCGATCTCGATAGATGGTAAGTCCTTCGAGGTGCGGGACAATCTTTGGGATTTCCTCAACGAGGCTTGTACCCGCGGAACTTTTACGCGTAGACCGACTCCTACTAGCGAACACTTGCGCACGATGCGCATGATGTTTCCAGGAACATGCATTCCCGGCGAAGAACAAGATTTTCTCTGGATTGATGTTATATGCATTGACCAGTCGCAAGTGGAGGAACGAAATCATCAAGTCGCAATGATGGGAAAGATATACTCACAAGCACAGAAGGTTCTGGTCTGGCTCGGTCGGTCAACTCCACTTATCGCCGACCTTCTCCATGACATGCACAGCCTGAAGATTGATGAAAACCCCAAATTGGTTTGGGAGACGATCGATGATCATGAGTGGGCGCGTAAGCGATTAGGCCTGGAAGAGCTATGCGGAATCGAGTATTGGGAGCGACTCTGGGTCGTGCAGGAGTACCTACTGGCAAAAAGTGTGGATATGTGGTGCGGCACGGATTCAGTCGATCCAGAAAAGATCAAGTGGCTGGTGTATATGGTATTCATGATTCCTTATCTCGCGAGGAGTCCCGCCATGCGACTATTGCAGGCAAGAGATGTGCGAAACGTACATACCGAACAGCTCTCCCTCCAACGACATCTCGAAGACTTCGGTATAAGAATGAAGTGTGCTGATGTGCGAGATCGCGTGTACGGACTGCTTGCGCTGATCAGCGAGAAAGAGCGTGAAAAGCTTGATATCAGGCCAGATTAGGCACTCTCCCCAGAGGACCTGTGTTGGAAATTAATCGCTGCATTAAGAAGATCACGACTTTATAGGCCAATTGAGCTAGCAGCTTACGCTGAGACTCTATCCCTAGCACTACGCCAATCACCTTATTATGTAGCGTAGATGATGAAGTGAATCGTGTTGATACAGAGTGGACTGCTCGGCGAAATTAAATCGCCTGATTGTACCATGGTTCTTGATTACCCTGTCCACACAAAATCCGATTTTGCGCGACAACCTTCTAGTTTTTTCCCTCCAAGGCACGAACATCGAGTACACTACAACCCGGTGGCGAGCTTGAATATGCCCGCTGCTAACGCGGCTAAGAGTCGCAAGATGAAGCGCACAGGTGAGTCTCCCTTCTCGCACCACTGTCCAGTTACTAAGCGTGTCTACCAGTTCCAGATCCAATTCCTGTCCAGCTTCAGAGTCCACTGCTCACGTTGCCCGGCGAGATACGCAATGCGGTCTTGGAGCTGTGAAGTTATTTGCAGTCCAATCCTCAAGCACCGCCTTGACTCAGTCTTTGTCTGCCCCAATCATCTCCAGATTCAACCATTGTGCGGAGGGCCAAGTCCCAAGAGTACCTCTGAACATGCTCGCATCCTGGTCCGACTGTCCTCCAATCCTCCTCGCATGGCTGTTAGTCGTCGCAAAGATGAACCAGACTACTACTCCATAGATAGCGATATGTTCGACGAACACGTCAGGCTGTGTGAAGCCCACCCCCACCTCGAGGTTATCGTGTTGTCGAATAGTCTAAGAATCACCCAAGGCTGCCGTGGTCTCCTTGTCGCTGGAGCTGCTATTCAGCTGATCTTACGAGGAAAGAGGGTGAGCTTTGACGTTGATGCCACGTTCACCAGCGACATCGACAACGTCGCACGAGCAATGACGACCCGCGGCGGTTTTGGGAGCTTCGAACAGGGCTTCCGCTATCCGGATAACCTCAAATATTTTCCACAGGATTCTTACAACGAAGCCGAACTAAGATACTCGCAAACAGAAAAGAAGAGGGGATTTGAGAATTGGTTGGCGCAAATCAGGGAATGGTACGCCTACGGAATTTGACACATACGAGGTGCGGATACTTTGTCTCGTACACCATGGTTTTGTCAGCACCTCGTTCATTGGGCCACGCAAAAGTTTGAGAGCAGAGTTTCAGGGCACCGTCTTCTCGAAACCCTTGGCTACTAAACCTGCACATCAGCCATGTCCACGCTGACAGCTGATAACGACCTGCGGGTTCTCGATACCATGTTCACAAATGCTCCTTGTCAATCAAAGGCTGTTGAATGACCGAAAATTTGTTTGACAGTGTCCGATTCCGTGATGTCAGTATCCACATGTAGGGATTGAACGTGCACGCCGAGCCGTTTTACAAGCTCGGTCTGCCCAGGTTCAATGTTCAAAATAGGTGCGCATTGTTGGTCGACGAAGAGTTTGTGCGTCAAGCTTGCCAGCTGAGTGAACTTCTGTACGTCGATGCCCTTGAGGAATATGGTTCTTTCAAAGCCACGTTGAATGTCTGTATACAAGATGTCATTTCACAAATAGGATGCTTGTCGACTGAAGGCACGCCGGTATCTCCATTTTGGTGTTTAGCGGCGCTTGGCGATACCTAATCCGCATTACCCCAGAGCCTCCTTCTCCACACCCCAACCCGCCCCATCCGATGAAGGAGGGCCAACGCACCCATCACCAAAGCAGTGCTCGAAGGAAACAATGCACACCATCGTCAAGAAAGCATCAAATCGAGCTTCCGCCTTCACACCCGACTTTTCTGAATGATTACCGCCTTCACAGCTCAAACGCGACATTCACAACCGCATCGCATTTCGCGGAGGTGGCCTAGACTCTTCCCAAAGCAGCATGCCATCCGACAAGCGGGAAGCCTTCGCGCACTGAACGACTCAAGCAAAACGTAAAAGAAGGCTCAAAGGAGTTGGTAATTTAGGCAATAGAAACGGCAGCCGGCTCGTTCATCACGGGACTACATCATTCATTGGTGGATCGGCGCCTTTCTGGAGTCGAGGCATCTCCACAGCCGGAGGAAAGGCGTCCGAAGCAATTTGTATAAGAGGTCTCGCTCCCCACGGGGTGGCACGTCTGTTTGGCTCTTCCAGAACGTCGGCAGCATGGTGGCAGCAAGCTTGAGAGAAAGTGCTCTCTGGGCTTGGTGCGCTGATTCCAATGGTTGACACAGGTACGTGGATTTACTTCTTTTGGCTCAACATGCTGCTTTTGTTCATTGCGACCAGCACCCCATACACGCATGACCCATGGGGAATCCCTCTACTATAACACGGAGTAAAAGCTAACCATTGCAGAGGTATCTGGAGACTCCATCAACATGTCTCCCCACATGCGCACCACAACTGTTATCCCACACATTGCCGTTCCCATCTACCGGTAACCCCTCGGTCTTCCGAACATCACCCGGTTTCACAATATGGACAAAGCATCGTGATCTGGAAAACGGCACAGATTACATTGCTCATCTCGCGACACTCTCGCTATGATCCACCAGGACCCTCTTTTCTCAAAAACTTCACGATTCTTGGCTCAGGATTTTCACGCTTTGTCGCGCGTAGCGGGCCGCTAGCGCTGCAACCTCGGAGTCGGAGATGAGTTTTTGTTGCGCGTCGGCCAAGACCGGCGTTTCCGGGCAAACTTGCCAAGTTGATACCATGGACGCCGTCGAGGAATGCGAATGAATTTGCCAGCAAGGAAAGACCCCAGCGAGGCACATGTGGACATATGACGTCGTTGACCATGAGATACTGCGCTCCGCGAATTTTTGGATAGGTCCCGCAGGAACGGCCACCCCCATCTTTCGAATGCAGAAGTTCAGGCGTACCAATCACCAGGGACTAGGAACAAAATGTGCAGACCGGTCGGAGAATAACTTTGTCGCGCCAGCTTCCATCCAATGACGACCTTCTGGACTCGATACCCGGACTCAACGCTCCAAGCGACTTGAGGCTCTGCGGCATCTAGTGAGAACCGTCCCGTCCGTGCGTACACCTCTTGCATATGTTGGGTGACATGAAGCACTTGTCAGCCTCATCTGCACTATAGACGCGTCTATGCCCCTGCATGAGGAACATCCCGGGTAGCCCCAAACGTTCTGATAGGCCAGCTAGGTGAAGTCCAGCGTTGGATACTTCGGATCGCGTAGCTCGCCGATACTCGCGCGTACCACGAACATCACGATACACGGTGGCCACGCGAGGGCAAACGTTCGCCGCCGTTATTCTTGGAGATGCCTGGGCGAGATCACGCATGATATTTCATACGAACGAGTCTACCACTGCCCAGAACTGGAACCGTCGTGTACTTGCAATAGGTGCGGTGGGCCGATCATTGCACTATCACCGTCTGTGCTTCTCGGCGTGTCCAACCATTCCGATACTGCGCGACTTTGAAGAAAATTCACAACCGGCAGCTCTCCGGCTCGAGCGTACTCGTGACAGGCTGCCCCATTGTCGGTTCCAGCTCCACGATGCGATGTCATCATACCTCCGTTGCCAGGGCGCTCGTGCGAGAGTGCCTCCTGTCGCCTCCATGCCTAGGGCGTTCTGGAAAAACTTAGTCGGATGGATATGCGGATGAGACTGACACTGGGGCTCCACTGTCAATAGACCCTACAAACCCGTCTCCGCATGCATTCTGCTATTTATACGGTGCAGCCTTCTCCTCAAAGTCCACACTGGTCTCCTCTTCTCCAGCTTCTCTCCAGCTCGGTTTCCTGAGAAGTCTACCCCGCGCTGCAGACCGGCTCATCTTTGACCGACACTTTATATTATTTTCTATCAATTCCTAATTACAACGCGCCCAACATGACGGTCTTGTCGCGTTTTTACAAGAAGAAGGCGGTTGAGGAGGAGGTACACGAGAAGGGAACGCCAGCCACTGGTACTCCTGCGGAGACGCCTTCCAGGGGTAACTCTGCTGTGCAGGCCACCGACCTTGAGCCCAAGGGCCGCGTGCCTGCCGTTGCTATCATCCTCGGTGCCGTCGCCAGTATTGGTGGTTTCATGTTCGGATACGAGTCTGGACAGATCTCTGGTTTCCTCGAAATGGACGACTTCAAGCAACGCTTCGGTGAGAACGCTGAGTTCTCTGCTACCCGTTCTGGTGCTATTGTCGGTCTGCTAGCGTAAGTAATCATTTTCGAACACAAGAAGCGCGTCTAACAATCTATCAGCGTCGGTACTCTCTTTGGATGCTTGGGCTCAGCTCCTCTTGCTGACACCTTCGGTCGTCGTCTCACTATCTCCGGTTCTGCCTTCTTCTACATTGCTGGTGTCATTATCGAAATCACCAGCAAGGACGTCTGGGTTCAGTTCGCCATGGGTCGCTTGACTGCCGGTCTCGGTATCGGAGCCCTTTCCACCGTCGTCCCCATGTACCAGTCTGAATCGATTCCCAAGCGCATCCGTGGTGCCACCGTCTCCTCTTACCAATTGTTCATCACACTCGGTATCTGGACTGCGTACATGGTCAACTACGGTACATCAAAGGACTACACCAACAGCGCTCAATGGCGTATCCCCAACGGTCTCTCCGCACTTTGGGCTATCATCCTTGGTAGCACCATCCTGCTTCTGCCCGAGTCTCCCCGTTACGCATACCGCAAGGGCAAGGTCGATGAGGCTCGCGCCAACATGGCCCGTCTCAACGGTGTTGACCCCCACAGTGCTTTCATCGACGCTGAAATCGCCGAGATCCAGGAGAAGCTCGAGGCTGAGGCTGCTGGTGGTGACCACCCATGGCACGAGATCTTCACCGGTCCCCGCATGTTGTACCGCACCCTGCTCGGTATGGTTCTCCAGGCTGGTCAGCAGTTGACTGGTGCCAACTACTTCTTCTACTACGGAACAACCATTTTCTCTGCCACCGGTCTCGAGAACTCTTACGTTACTTCCATCATTCTCGGTACCGTCAACGTTGTCGCTACAATCTTCGGTCTCTGGGTTGTTGAGAACGTCGGTCGCCGCAAGGCTATGATGGTCGGTGCTGCGTGGATGGCCATGTGTCTGTTCATCTACTCCTTCGTCGGCCAGTACGGTCTCGATCGCAATGCTCCCCAGACCACACCTGCGGCTGGAAACGTCATGATCGTCTTCACCTGCCTGTTCATTGCCGCATTCGCCACTACCTGGGGACCCCTTGTCTGGGCCATCGTCGGAGAGTTGTACCCTGCCCGCTACCGCGCTACCTGCATGGGTCTCGCTACCGCATCCAACTGGCTCTTCAACTTCATCATCTCCTTCTGCTCCACCCTCATCACCGATGAGATCAACTACCTGTACGGTCTTGTTTTCGCTGTCTCCCTGGTTCTGCTCTTCATCATCGTCTACTTCTTCATGATTGAGACCAAGGGACGTTCGCTCGAAGAGATTGACACCATGTACATGATCCACGTCAACCCTATCACTTCCTCCAAGTGGGACCCATCGAGTCTGCAGAAGGACGGCCTCGTCGACACCGACAGGCTGCACATGGGTGCTGGTGGTCGTACCTTCAGCAAGGCTGAGCAGGCTGGTACCCACGGTGGTATCTTGGAGCCGGCTGAGCGCAACGAGAACCAGGTTTAAATGGCTGGTCGTTGTATGAATGAGGCTACGATGGAGAAAGAACTATATTCACGTTTGGATGTGGATTGTGACGGCCTAAAATCTATCAGTTGTAATACAAAATGATTGTCCGTTCTATGGGACAATGCAAGAGTATGCTTATATAGTACATACTCAATACATTATCATCAAACAATTTATCACCAGCTGCTGTTCCGTGTGAATGCTGTCTTGCCTTATCGGTATACGCTAATATTTCCCTATCAGAGTTATAATGCATAGTCTAAGTATATCTTGAAAATCTGTTCCTCCTTACTCCATACAAGACAAGTATGGACAGATACAGAAACACTAAACCTTATCTTACATCCTGCATTAGCTTTCAACAAGAAAACGTACAAAGATTAGTAGCACTGTTGACCTGTAGATTCTCTAGTATTGTCTTGAATTATGTTTGCTTAACTATGCGACTTAGAACTTGTACTACTCATCATGATCGACCCATATAATCACAAAAAACTGTCTTGAAGGTACATGCTAGTGTTTTCCTGTCAGGGTTGTAGCGCACCAGCCAAGTGCATACCTTTAGGACATGTCTTCCTCGCTGTACTCAGATACCCTCACGACACCACTTCTCAATCTCTTCCTGAAAGACTGTCACTTCACTTTCGCTCCACTTGCCCGGTGTGAATTTGGAGCGGAGTGGACAGTGGCTAAGGCCTGGTCCCGCACCAGGAAACACCTGAACCTGGTTGGGTATTTTGGGTAAGAAAAAATGCCCCTCCTCACAAAAGCCGTGTAATTTATTGTTGACGATGGGGTGCTTGACATCTAAACCGTGCTTCGCATAGTACAACAAGGTGGCTTCATGAATGAACCAGTCGCCCCTGGAGGATTCATTGAGGTGGGCGAGATACAGGTGAAAGGTGATGTGAGGATGGGAGGCGCTCATCTGCAGCAGTTGACCAAAAGGCCACTCCGAATCACGTTTTTCGGAGCCAGTGAAAAGATTGTATCTAGTGCACAGAGTGACTTTCCGAATGCACTGTTGCTGGCCGACCGAGCATGTACCAAGGAATGTAATAAAATCTTCGGTTTGCTCTCGAAATTCCGAGCGGATGGTAAGATCATTCAGACCAAGACCTAAGCCTTTGGTTTCGTAGTATAGCTGACGACAAACGTATTTGAGGCAGTTGGACTCGGTGCTGGGATCAGTCGGTTGGCATCCCCTGAAACTCTTCTGGGTTTCGTCGCGCTCAACAAGAAGGAGACCCTGATCTTCAGTGAGTGCGTATTCGTATATCATATCGCGGAGCTCTCTGGGTAGGTCTAGTAGACGGCTTGAACTCGGTTGGCTAGACATCTTGAGTCTCGACAATGGATGTAGGTTACGTGTGTGTGCGAGGAAGAAAGATTCAAAATCGGGGAAGATTTTATATTCGATGGTTATCGTAGTGAAGAATACACTGTATACTTTCATTGTGACTTTTGGCGGAGCATAAGGTAGAAGAAGAGAACTTCTTTGTACCATATCCGCCTACGCACTATCATTCTACATACCAATACTAAGTGGGTTTCCGCCACCGTTGTAAAGCGATACTTCTCTCTTCTCCCCGGCGAACCGGTGCATTAGAACACGTAGTGACCGGACAAATCCTGATAAAATCATTCGACTCCTCGTCTTGAATGAACCCATTTACATACTTCCACAGATAGCAGGTGGAAGCCTTGTATGAAAAGGCCATACAGTCATCGATTCCGTCGCACCTTTCACGGCAAGCATCGACCGAGATGCCGGGGACGTCGAGGATAGCTTGTGAGCCTGAAGCTGGTTTTTCTCCGCAACGGACAAAGTAGTTGTCTTGGCATTGCGCGCCGTAGGAAGGGCAGCTGTTTGCTAGGCCTGCGGTGAATTGCTGGCACTCGGGGTAGGCGACACAAGATACTGTTGGCGCTGGGGGGATGCAGACAGTAGATGTAGATGTGCTGGTAGTGCTGGTCGAGGTAGGCACGGTAGATGTTGCTAATGTTGAGGGTGGGGTGGTGGCTGCCAAGGGATTGGCTACGCAATCACGGTTGTAGTACTTCAAGCCGGTATTTGGTTGGGGAGCAACGTTGGTGCTGGTAATCGGTATCCTGGTAAGGTAGCACGTATTCGAGTAGACGATCATGCTCCCACATGCGCTCTGGGCCTGGCAGTCTGCCAAGCATGCATCCAGAGTCGTGAAAGGCTTTCCAGATATCACTTGGAGATCGACAGTGTCGACTCCTTCAATGCCACAGAACTGATCGGCAGTTGGTGACGGAGAGGCGGTGGTGGTTGAGGTCGAAGTGACGGTAATCTCGGAGGACGTGCTGGAGGTGACCGGGATGAGAATTACCGTTGAAGAGTCACTAGACAACGACTCGCTAGATGAAGTGCTGGTAGTTGACTCACTGGCCGAAGAGGTGGATATTAGTACCAGACTAGAGGAGGAAGCGCTACTAGAGCTGGAGCTGCTGAGAGAGCTAGAGGAGTCGAGAGTCGAAGAGCTAACAACAGAGCTCGAAGGGACGGCATCGCATTTTCCAAACCCTGGCTGACAACCCGTCCCGCAGTAAGCGCTTGAGCTTCCACAGTATGAGTACTGAGAACAGCAGTCACCGTATCTACCACCGGAACATGTCATTCCTGCTGGTAATGCGCCGTACAGGTTTCCGCAGCGAGCATTCGTCGTGACCTTGACCTTCGCGGCAGTAGAAGATGGTGCCACTGACGAGACTGCTCTGGTGGACGAGGCGATGCTGCGGCTTGATGTTGTCGAAATGCGCGTGGATGTAACAACGCCGTTGCAGGTTCCAAACGATGACTGACAACCAGTTCCGCAATAATCCTTCGTCTTGCCACTGCGAAGATATCGTTAGACTGCCTCGAGGACATGGGGACTCTATATTCAGGTGCTTACCAGTAACCATATTGGGAGCAGCAGTTACCCCATTGCGAGCCTGTACAGCTCATGCCACCGGGCAAAGCATTGTAGGCGTTTCCGCATCGCGCATTCGTCGATACTTTGCCAGCGGCAAGCGTTGCCGTTGCTGCAAGTGGAAGGAGAAGATTCCAACGCATCGCGAATGATATTAACAATTAACGTTTAAGCAATAAAGAGCGTGCTGTTATCACAGACCAAAGAGCGAGAGAACGACTGTTGGTGGGATGCTCGTAGAGAGTGAAACGAGATGACGACTCGACAGAAGCTGGAAAACCCACAGGTTTATACCTACCTTTGCCTGTAGAAGAAGTTCTCGCTCTACAGGATGGTACCGACGTGGCTTGCATACTCCCATACAGAGTCCACGATAGCCTCGTCCAGACCCTTATGACAGCCACCAAGGCGTTCATCGCGTTCGCGCTTCAGCAAGACGATGAGTCGAAAGTCGTCCGCATCAGGCCATGTGCAAGGCACGAAACCACGCGAGGGAAAGGGGACGTCGGAGTAAGATGAGCAAGTCGCGCTATTGATGAACACTAGTTTGTGGTCTGTCCTGTGATTGGAGTAGCCCCTGGAAGGCACGTGTTGACGCAAGCCACACCGAGCGAGGCTGATCACGACTTACCGAGTTCAACGATCTTCGGCCGCTCCGCAATATGTAAACTTTCCAGGTACCAGAGTGAGCTATCGCTTCCCTGGTGTCGTGGCATGGTTTCGGGGGCGTGCGGTGATCGAAAGCTGCGGATGCGAGGTCGCTGCCATGCAGGGTGGGGCCGACTAAGGATTCTGCTGGACTAGCTCCCGGGGAAAAGGTCCTAGGGTTCTGCAGCATCTGCACTATATATGCGTTCGACTTGCTCATATCCTTCCTGCTATCGTCCATAATCGTGTGCTTTGAGCAATGTATCACCATCCAGGTACATGATTGTTCTCTACGATGCTTATTCACTACACTGGCTCATTTTGCACAAATCGCTGTTTGTATCTCAGCGCTACCTAGGTAGATATCTCGAGAAACTTCATCGATCACATCATTCAAGTCTGATTGACACAAATAAGTTTATTTCACATGTCATAAGTCTCTTTCCAAGCTTTGCCATGTAGGAGACAGAACTCATAACTATAATCTCTCTGTAAACGCTCTTACATGTTGCGATGCACGCGATCCACTGCGCGATCATGAAGAATAATACTCCGTGGAAACGACTGTGGTATTTCTCTCCGATCTTGAGACACCGAAGCTCACTTTCCGTTCGATGTTAGGCTATGATGTCAGGCAGTTCAATAGATACGGCTTCATGTCTCCGACCGGGTGCGGCTTCACTCGCTTGGGCTGCCGTTAGCTCTGTCAACTTGTCAGGCATTCATGGTTTCGAGAATTTTGCGCCCATCCCCAGCAAGAACTCAAAGAGGACGGCTTTGTGTGGGTAGATACGAAGGGACAGCTTGCGACTCGATGCAACGCGGGCGGGGTACAGCTGAGGCTGGAATTGCTGACTACATAAAGATATGCGACATCCTGCCTGATGTTCTCAGCCTTTCCTGACATCACTCCACCAAACACTTCCCCGGAGGTGCCATCCTAGAGTCATGGCGATACCGGCAAGCATGCCCACCATATCGCTGCCTCCAAAAGCTACCACCTCACCATCAGCATTGCCCGCAGCATCAATCTCGAGCACGGCGAAGTCTCACAACGAAGAGCTGCTTCAATATGTCGAAAGATCGCTTAAGGAAGACAAAGAGTTCCATTTCTTGCGCTTCGAAAAGCTGCAAAGGATCAATCTCGTCGCGCTGCAGATGAAGCTCATTCGTACGAAAGCTGCATTGTCAGAGGCGTCAACTATCTCCGATGATAACCTTGAGAACTTGAGAACGACTCTGGAGCAATATGGCAAGCAAACCTCGTCGCTTCGGATAGTACCTTTTTAACCGATGTCAGCCACTGCAATACAAAACTACCACTCCCTGCGCGAAAGAAAGAGTCTGACCTACAATGAAGCAACGAAAAGAGCAGACATGTTGCAGCGCTATTTCCAATCTCAGGTGAAAGATTTACGCGTGTTCAAATCCTACTACTCCTACTTCGACGTGACGGTTGCTAAGATCGACCGCCTACGAACCTTACTGATGAATCGACTCCCGGTGTGGATCACCTACTCACGCAACGAACGAGCAGTCCGCAGAGATAAATTCGAAGCCGGCTATCCACCAAAAGAAGTATCAGTATCTATTGATCGACTATGTCGCTTCATTATTGCTGCTATAGGTGGGCTCTTTCTTGTTGGACCGATGTTGATCATGGCTATCCGACCGTCGACGGCGAAGAGCCTTATAACGGTCTCAGCATCGGTGTTTTTGTTCGCTGTTGTGCTGACCTTTGGGATACGAGTGACTTATCTCGAGGGGCTCGTGTCTACGGCAACATATGCTGCTGTTCTTGTGGGGTTTGTCGGTCCGGGCACTGGTGGTGGCAGCTAGGTAGCAAGGCTCGCTAATAATATGCATTAGCGTAGAGATCATTGCACTACATCAGTGTTCATGATGCAGACGATACTTAGGCACTGTTGTCTGATGGGTATATAAACCAGCAGACTGTCGTGTTGTGCGCCGTTGGGCCGGAAGGACAAGCTTTCTGCATGTGAGGTCACTCCTGCGAAGTCCTTTCTCTTTGTCATATGAGGCTACCCCACCAAGCCTCATACTCTTCCGACAACTGAACATCATGCTTCCACAGCCTTGGCGCGTCCGCCCCTCACATGATGCTATGAAGTCAATGGCAGGATAACGAGGTGCGCGGCTCTTCGGCGCCGATCAGCCTCGGCAAGTGGAATAGCCAGCCAACCAGCCGAATACCGACGTAGGCCCAGCTCTCCGGAGCACTGGAGCTTGCACATGCTACAGTCTCCCACCTCGCTGTTGGATTTTCTTTCTTCGCAATCACTGTGGGCAGAGTCGCGTAGGTTCTCACTTGCTTCGCACAGCTTTTCTTGGTATCCATACCGGGCCCTGTTATAGTTGTACCAGGTTCTGCGCGCGCACAATCGCTTCATCCTGCCCCCCGGACCTACGGACGCGACCCCCACCACAGCTTTCTACCATGTCAAACACGACGGACTCGGTGATTGAGAAGCTGCCCAACACTGCAGAGCTCAAGGAAGATGTCAAGGCTGCTTCCAAGTCGTCGCTGCAGTCGCTACGGGCGCTGTTAGCTGGAGGCGTGGGTGGTGTGTTTGCGGTTGTTGTGGGCCACCCGTTCGATCTAGTCAAGGTGCGCATGCAGACGGCAGAGAAGGGTGTATACACGGGCGCTATGGACGTTGTGAGGAAAACAATCGCAAAGGAGGGATTGGCCAGGGGACTGTATGCGGGTGTTTCTGCGCCGCTTGTCGGTGTTACGCCCATGTGTGAGTGCCCTTGGGAAGCAGTGTATGAGGCAGTCGGGATAGAACATCAGCTGACATCTCCCAGTTGCCGTATCCTTTTGGGGTTACGACCTCGGCAAGCAGCTCGTCTCCAGCGTGTCCAAAGTCGAAAACAACCAGTTCAGCGTCGCACAAGTCTCCGCCGCTGGTTTCTTCAGCGCCATACCCATGACCATCATCACCGCACCTTTCGAGCGCGTAAAAGTGCTCCTACAGATCCAGGGACAGAAGAATCTAGCACCTGGCGAGAAACCCAAGTACTCTGGTGGTATGGACGTTGTCAAGCAATTATACAAGGAGGGCGGCATAAAGTCCGTTTACCGTGGCTCTGCCATGACATTGGCGCGTGACGGCCCAGGATCAGCCCTCTACTTTGCGACGTACGAGTACGTCAAACGCACTCTGACTCCCAAAGACCCTGTTACGGGACAGCCTGGATCGCTGAGTATGGGCGCGGTCATGGTGGCGGGTGGTGCTGCCGGTATCGCCATGTGGATACCAGTCTTCCCCGTTGACACCATCAAGTCGCGATTACAGAGTGCCGAGGGCAGACCGACAATCAGTGGAACCATCAAAGGCATTCACGCAAGTGGTGGCCTCAAAGCCTTCTTCCCTGGCATTGGACCTGCCATGGCACGAGCAGTGCCTGCCAACGCGGCTACATTCGCTGGTGTAGAACTTGCGCAAAAGGCTATGACCAAGATGTTCGACCGCGACGGCGAGTAGGACCCTATCAGCATCGCCAAACCATCTGGTGGAGGCGAAATTATGTGCGACGACGATCAAGGACTTTTCCAAGCTCTTCGTGCGGTTCCCCACGGATGACGCTTTTTCATCTCTTTCATACTCCATGTCTAGTTCATTTCTATGTTGATCGAGCGAAACGACGATTGATCATGTTGGTGGCATAGCATATGGCGTTGTTTTACGTTTGTACGCCTCCAGCGCTTATGTATAGAGTAGGTAAGGGGCTTCCTAGATGGCGTCTCCTTCGTCCGTCTTCTCGCCAATAGATACTATTCCTACATACGCCCCAACATATGCCGACAATCCTTTGATGATCCAACAGGGCGGTTCCGAAGGCGGCCATATGGTCGGTCGTAGCAAGGGATGAAGGCGAGGGGCGGCAGAACGCGGATGCATCCGCTGCTCCCCTCGTTCCTCTTCATCCTGAACAACAGCAAACCAACAACTACGATTCTCTCCCGGTGTTATGCCAAAGTGTGGAGTTGTCAAAATGCCGGATACGAAGTCGCAATCCCTGGCGCGTGCTTTCTTTGTTCCCTCTGGTCTAATTCTCCGATGCATCTCGCTGCCACCTGGCGTCAGGCTGCCTTGAGTTCCTCTTTGTTCCATCAACATGCTGCTCGTATTCATGATATATGTGTTTCAGAAATCCTTTCCGTACGTCTGTCGATCTCTCTAAAAAAGATGGACGGGATATCCTGCTAACGCGCGGACGGAAAGTGGCTAATATCGCCCTCCGACGGCCCGACCATAGTGGTGAGAAATCGGGATATGAGGATGGACACTGGCCAGCCCCCGTCGACTTTAACACCGATTGGACTGAGGTTTGATCCACTGAGACAGCATCCAGTGAATCCCGCTATTCCTGTTATTCTTTCTGGTCCGGGGCCGAATACTACATCAACGAGGACCATCTTCCTTAATCACCCGTTTGAAAGGCTGAGTCCTATACTGGCATCGAGTCCAAGGATTGTCGAGGCCAATTCCAAGAGACGCTCATCTGTCTACCTGGACGTGAGAGAAATTGATACCATGTACAGCAGATTGATACCTGGCACCGACTTTTTCGACGACTGTTCATCCGAGTCCGACTCTGGAGCCATCGCAGCCTTACTCGCAAGGACATGTACGGACACTCCCGAACTTGGTCACCGCAGCCAACCACATACCATGAACAACGACGATAGAAGCGTGCCACAGGGACGAAGCAGACACCGTCGCACCACCACCACGCTCTCCAACGTGACGAGCCTACCGGTCAACAGCTCAGACTACAGCGGCTTCAACGAAGAACATACCGTGGGAGTTGTCGTGATGGAAGACGTAGACGCACCAAGCCATGCCCGGAAGATGTCTTTGACGCGTCTAGATAGGGAAAATGTACGGTTGGCGGATGGCAGATCCATCAGATCGAGTGTAGACTCACCCCGGCATTCCATCTTCAACGGCTACAACAACAGCTCTCTCCCCGTATCTCCAGCATACCCTGCATCAGCCTTGGCCGCCATATTTTCAGCTAGTGCGACCTCAAGGGATAAGATGTGTGAGAATGGCGAGGATACACTCACGCCTCTACCGCAGAGTCCTACGTTCCGGAACGGTTATCACCAGAGGAATGCTTCAGATGGTGATAGCAGCTCTGATGGTGTACTTGCAGATTCTATCATCAATGCGCATGTGCATGCGATGCGTGCACTGGAGGCATTGAATGCCGATCCAAAGAGTAACGAGAATGTGGAGAGGAGTGTGGGGAAAGGAGTGGAGAAGGTGGAAGCTGGGCGTAGTTATCTGAACTCGGGTACTACGACTAGTTGGCCCAAGTCTGTAACCTCGTTGTCTGCGAATCGGCAGATCAGGCTGAGTGCCCTGTCAACAGGAACAGTGACACCCAAACGAGGACAAGAAGCAAGACGCCGCCATGATTGCGCTGCTTCCCCATACGTCGATGGAACGAATCCATTTGCCACACTCTTGCCAGACACCGCTTTATCTTTCCCAGCAATGGGCTACACCTGCGATTCCAATCCCCTGCCCAACTTCTCCCTCCCCGCTTTCAATCCTAGTATTCGTAGTACAGACGACTATGTTAGGTTGGACTCAGTCTGTACCAGTATCTTCCCCGAGGAAGTTGCAAGTTACCTGCCCGGCAAGCCCAAAACTGCTTACAACGCTCGGAAAGGCAAGCATGTACTCGGTCTTGTGACGACGAGCGTGGAGTGCTTGGACTTGAGGAGCCGGAGGGAGAGAAATGAGAGTGCGCAGGGTTTGATACGGAGTCAGGCCGAGCCAGGCGATGAGAAAGGGAGGAAAGATAGCAGTGCGAGGCAGAGCGCAGGCGGTTTGGTTATCTGGGTCGGGATGAAGAGGTGGACGTGGAAGTCACGCTATGAAACGGGAGGAGGGAGAAGGGCTAACGATGAAATTGGACAAACGAAGTTGGAGGAGATTGTTGTACCGAGTAAACTCGTGGACAGCGATGCTGATGATGAGAAGCAGGGATATCGCTATCGATATCCGAGGCATAACAGCGTTGACACCGACTTTGACGATGCGGCTTTTGCGGAGAGACTACGATCGGCTAATCGCCAGTTACTTGGGCAATCTTTCGGCTTCAGCGCGAGGACGCTGCGTGGTATACGATTTGGCAGGCGCAACGTCTGTTGTATCGCTAGTATCCACCACACCGGATACGAGCGGAGAGGAAGCGCAGATAAACAAACAACATCCATAGCGCAGCTACCTCACCCCTCGGAGACACGTCTACTCGCTTTGTACAGGAATCCCGCTATTGGTTTCAAAAAGTACATGGTGGTTACATGGGCGAGAAGGATTGCTGTGTCTTCTTCTTCTTCTTCTTCTTTGCCAAAGGAAGCACATGTACCGACCTTGGAACTGGTTTATATGATCTCACCGACGAGAGTTGTTGTTGTCATGACTGTCTTGCTCAGTATTAGTGTCGCAGCGGCCCTGGCTTGGGTGTTTCTGAGCCATGTTGGGGATGGAAAGGAGACGGCGGCACCGGGTCAGCGGGTGGGAAGTGGGATGGCGATTGGTGTTCTGGCACTGTTAGTTGAGGCGTGTGGGTTTGGGGCTTGGGTTACATTCTCATAGAACAGGCGAAAGATTGAACGCATGGGAATGTATGTGTAGGATGGTGGTATCCGTGCACGTCTCGGTGTAGCTTTCTAGAAGAGATATGAAATAGAGTTTGATGGAGCAGATGGAGTAATCAGAATTAGAAGAACAAGAGCAGGCATAGGCTGCACTACCACTTCTGTTCTCTTCCATTTGATGCCCTCCAACTCATCAGAATCAATAACCCATGCCTGCTCTCCCCACCGCTCGCTCAATCTCTTCCAACATAGTCTGCGCTCCCTGTGCGCCCCTCGGTGTTCCTCGCGGAAACTTGTATCTTCCGTCCACTCCACCAGGCGGATCGATAAGCTTGCCCTGCGAAGAACCAGTGAAAAGCGGTATCTGGCCATCGTAGACACGAATCGGGCTCAGCTTCTCTAGAGACCGCGAGTCGAGATCATCGAACAGCTGGCTGAGAACACGCGCGTAGGCTCTTGTGAAGCCCATGTACGGCGCCCCTCCGCGATAAGGCGTGTTGGCCGGGTCCTCGGCATCCAGTACAGTGACCCACGGCTCCAGGTCCAGGTTCGGGACTCTGCCGCGAACAAAATCTGGCGCATTCAGCAGCGAAGCCAGTGCAGCTTCGTCGATGACAATGCACACATTGCGCCGGACGTCCGACGGCCACTCTTCGTCGTCATCGTCGTCTTCGTTTCTCTCCCGGCCAACAAAATCTGCGATCCACTGATTGAACGCCTTGCGCACCGAGGCATAGTCAGCTCCGCGCAGAAGAGCACTATCAGAGATGACGGGTAGCGCGAACGTGTCGGGATCCATTTCAGCCCCGCTATCCGACGGAGTAGCGTAGTCCTGTAGCTTCTTCAAGGCGGCAGCCCACTGTGCATCGTCGTTGTCATTGGCGTAGGCGGTGCGCACAATGACAAAGCCCCATTGGTGGGTGAGACCTTCCATTGCGCTGCAGAACTGCGCTGAAAGGGCACTGAGATCTCGAGGTTGTGATTGCTCCGCCATTCTGAAGCTGGCCGTAGTGGAAGAAAGGTGAGAGCGTGGAGCAATCTCAATTGTCGAGGCGGGGGCGGGGCAGTTGGAAGGAGGCCTAATTATTGGCCGGTGCAGACGAAATTGGTGTTCAAGTCAAGAGCATCCGAGACGGTCTTTGAAATTTCTTTGTTATTTATCCGTCTATCACCTTCGGCGTCTATTGTGTCGAAATGAGGCAGGTGCAACTTCCAAATGAAATGCCAAGCCAATTGCAACAAAACCCACTCAGAGGCTGAAGATGCAAACACGCTAGAGTGACACAAGCTAATCATAATGGGTTACACAAGGCTAGACCGAACTCATGGGCACGGAGTACAGTGCCAGGATGAGTTTAGTGTAGGGTATCGGAGCCGTGAAGGAACAGTCTCAATAAAATCTATCCTATAGGGCCTGACAAATGACTACCACTACCACAGATTCGTGGTGTCAATGGAAATTTCCCCATTGGTAATACCGAGCGTCTCCAAGCGGTCAAGATGCTGGTTGACCTGTAGCGCTCTCGCCTGATACGTTTGATCGTTGGGATTGTTCAACGGGCTCCATGCCCGGCGCATATCCGTAATGGCACTGCGCACCCACGTACGCGTATTCGATGCCATATCTTCCAGGTGTTCTCTGAACCAAGTGTCCCAGCAGTCGCGTATGTTGATGCCAGCGTTGGGGTGCCCAAAGTTGTATCCATCAGATGCTCGCTGGAACTCTTCTCGGAGTACTCTGTTGATGCCTATGAGCTTGGGTCGGACATACGGATGGTTCAGATAGTTGAATACCGCAATGGCCTTGATTGTGTCAGTATATTGATCGTTGTAGTGGCCTGCCATACTCACATCTCGGATGGACTGTAGCGCTTCCCGAGGCTCGTTGCTGGCGACCATTAATAGCCAACTGGCATCACTGATGGGATCCAAGTATCTCCATATCTACGGCAGCATGGTCAGTCTAAGTCTCACCCATGGATACCTCCATGTCGGCTACATACCCTAGCTTTCATCCCGTTCAGGTTCGTACGCAGCAAGACGAAGTTCACTGTGTTCAGCTCACTACCGAGCGCGTCCATGATACGCTCACTGGGAACTGGACTCATGAATCCACCAGGCAAAGATGGGCCGCTCGCAATGGGGTTGTTGAAGCCGTTGATGAAGAAGTCGCATGGAACTTTACATCTTCTGTCGCCCGGTGCATCGGTGAAAAACAGAGCCATTGTCTGTATTTCGATAATGTGTTCAGCTGTGCGAGATCAAGGGTCAGCGATGATGATCATGCAAGGAGAACTACATCTATAGCATGCAGAAAGAATGAGTATCGACTTACTGGCATAGTATTCGCCATCTGGCAACTGAGAAACTCTGAGGTTAGTCATGGAGCAGTGATCCTCGAACATGTGGGTCAGGGCATTGTCGTAGATGGGATTATTGTTGTCCCACTGGCCAGCGCTAGTCCACGGCCTCTTCCTCCACTTAATTTTCTTGCCGTTGGGGTTCGCCGAGTCTACACACTCGAACTCAACGTCCATGTTATCGCGCTTCTCGAGAGAGCCGTGATGTTCTGCAGGAGATGTGTCGAGGGTGCTTCGCGCCTTCACAGACCCAAATCCCATGCCACGCTTATCTGAGGTGCCAGGCGCATCTTTATCAAAGGAGTCGAAGCACAGCCCATCTATCCCGCACATATCGGCGTCACAGATGACGACGGTAACTTGTGTCCGCCGAATTAGAGCGTCGGTGACATCGAGCTCGCAAGCGAAGCGCTCTGCAGTGATCTCTGGGCCCTCAAGGTCAAAGGCAGGATAGCGGGACTTGTCGGTAAGGAATGATTTCATGGGTACTGTCTGCAATCCTTCATGCTTGGTTTTGATAAAGTCGTCCCAAGCACTGTTATAAGCCTTGCTCATATCGGTCGGCGTCTGGTATATGGCCTGGAGGATTAGGATCAGCAGCTGTAGAACTCGTTCAGCGTTGGTCATGCCATTACCGCCGATGGGTGTTTGCTGCCGAGTGAGGAGATGGGACTTGTCTTCGCGGCTGATGAGGCCTCGTTCCAGGAGATAACGTCGTTGGAGACCCCCCGTTCCCCGAGGACAAGTTGGACTCTCAACCCAAGCCTTCATGGCATCGCGATACTTTTGTATCTCGTCTGACGGACGCGTCTCGGTGTCATAGTTGTCTGCATCACAGCAGTACGCTCGAGCACCACTGGTCTTGCAGTCGTCGCCCCAACCGTCCATGGCTACTCGTGTTTTGCCTTCTGGGCAGTTGGGATAGCATCGGGCTCCTGCGGAACCCAATCCGAGCGACTTTTCCCATCTACAGTTACTCCATTTGCGGCTGTTCGTCTTCGTGTCGCAGCAGTACTTGCGTTCTTGGACCTGCCAAGTACTTGCTTCCCAGCCCGCAGAACGCATGTTGCAAATGGCACCACCACTGCCCGTTGCTGAGACAACTAGTTCCGTCGGCCATGCTGAGCCAGCAAACGTGCACTTGCCCAGATCGCACATTGGCGCGTCTGACCACTCGCAACCCTCGTAGAGCTCCATGGCGCGTAGTGGTTTTTTATCCGAGTCGGAGGTCGTGCAGCAGGCGGCCTGGTAGCCCGAATCACAATAGTTCGAGTTGGAACCGACTTCCTGCGTTCCGTCCGGACATTTTGAATCGCATTTACCGCCACGTTTGGGAAGTGTGTACCAACCGCACGTTGGAAGCGTCTCGGAAGACGGGCAACAGAGGCGATGAATACCGGCGCCGTCACACCCCGAGTTGTCGAACATCCACTCATCGCTACGTGCATGCTCATCACTGCGCTTCATGAGCTGCCAGCCCGAGGGGCAGCCTCCATCCAGGCAGTTGGTCCATTTGCACTGGGGATGCGGAATCTTGACTTCCTGTTCAGGACCTTCCGTACTAGGCAGAAGAAGGATCTTGCGGTTGGCTGCTGCTGCCAGAGCTTTCGTGTATTTTGCCTCCTTGGTGTCGTGACTGATGGCCCATACCATAACGCCGCCCAAGCAGCGCTTGCGGGCGAACTTGGTTTTCAACTTGAACGTGTCCGCATCGTCGTAGGTCAGCCACTGATCGTCCCAGTGAAGCATCTTGACAGTCTCCTTCTCCCATGACTTGGGCACAAGGCTCTTTTTCTTGACGATGTCGTCGATTTCAGAGTTGAGCAAGATACCAGCCTCGTTACTGCAAGGACCCTTCTTGGAACCCGATGCGTATTGGCACTGGGGTTCAGTGCAGCTTGGGTCTTTGAGCGTGTAAGCTCGTGCGTAGAATGCAAGGCCCAGAACTACCATGTTTGGATCCACTTTGTTTCTCCAAAGGAGATCAAGGGCGGCATCGATCTCTGTGATGTTCGTGTGAGGGTTGAGATATTCGCCGGTCCACTTGTTGCCTGTATCAGACGTTAGATGAGATCAGATCAAATAGTATGGACATTCGAACCTTTATCCCACGTGCCGTGCAAATCATATGACATGATGTTAAAGAAGTCTACTGACTTCTTCAATTTGACGAGATCGAAGTGTTGGAGGTACCAGAATGATGCCGGGAGTGTGATAGACAGTCCACCACGGCCCGCTGTCTGCTGAAGTTCTTTAGATAAGTTTTCCATAAATTTAGGAAAGTTTTTGAAGTCTTCGGGCCTGCCACTACGATCCGGAGCTTCGGGGTATTCCCAATCGAGATCAACACCGTCCATGTCGTACTTGTTCAGAAAGGCAATCAGCGACTTGATGAACTTCTTCTGGTTCTCTTCCGACCGTGCAATGTCCGAGAAGACAGTGGCAGTAGGGCCCGGATCGTTGAACGTCCAGCCACCAATGGCAATGTAGATGCGGAGTGTGGGATCGTCTTTCTTGAGCGCCGTCAAGCGCTTGTAAAGTGGAATGTCCTCAGGTGTCGCGGGAAGAACTTCAAATGTCTGAGGATCGATCGTGGCAAAGGCAAAGTTGATGATCGAGTAGACGCCACGAGGAATCTGCTCAGGGAAGAAGGCGTTGCACGGCCTTCGTGCACCCCATCCTTCGTAGTAGCCAACCACCCTGTTGAGGGTGCCGTCTTCATCGCAAGTCTCTCGTTTGACTTGCTTGTTACCACACTAAAAGTATGCTAGTGAGCTTGATGCTTTCGAGGAGGTAAGAGAATGGCAGCTGTCACTTACAAAGTCTTTCGTTGTTCCGCAAAACCCCTAAGAGATATGTTGTGAGTACTTACGAACACCCGGCTCAAAGGAACTTGTATGCCGAAACTGACTTACAAACTTTGAACAGCACACGTTAAGAGGGCAAGTGGATCTCTTGGCCCATTCTGAACCAAATCCGGGATCACAGTCAGACTTGCGGTCGCAGCCAGAGACGCAGACATCCGATGCACAAAAGTCTGGTCCAAAACCACAATGGCCAAACTTGGAGCTGATTTCATTGGTTAGCTAATACTTGAAGATTGGAGTGGAACAGGTAACGTCGTCAGCTTCTCACATTGAGCAACGTGTAAGCTGTCAAGAAACCAGTATAGAATATGTGACTTACCAGCATCCAACTTCACAGGCGCTAGACGCACTACACGTTTGGGCGTAGGACAAGGGTAGAGATGTTAAGAGAAGACTAAGAAGACAGAAAAGAATGAACGTAGTCGAAGCCATGACTACAGCGGTAATCTTACAAAAGAGGGTTGTGTCTTCTCCGGGCTGCAGAGGAGAATGCCAGAGTGATATGGAAGAGGGTCGAGTTTAGAAGTTCCGGTCCATTGATATGTTCGGAAGCCAATAGATACATCTCGACAAAACACCTGACAGCAAGCCTTGGGCCTAGAAAACTAGCCCTAGCGAAGTCTATTGTTAACGCGGGTGGTAGAGTGCAAGGCGTTCTCCCAATCAACCGGAAGGTTGCACTACACTGGAAGGGTTGATTGAATTTCTTGGTTTCTCCTGATGACTGCAGAACTCCGGCCGGAGATGGGCCTGGAGTTGACTCGCATCGTTAATATCGCACGAATCACACTCATTGGAGAAATGACTTAATTCTCAAAACTCCGCGAGGAAGGGAAATGACAATACTTGGCAGAGGGAAACACATCTAGACGTGTATTCTCAATCCTTCTTCTAGCCGCGAACGAGAAATGGAGGTTCGATTTGGGAGGCCTTACAGTGGCGGGTTTTATATTGACTTTTGATAAGGCTGTAAAAAAAGCCTGCCGGGTCGGCTTAGCTGTGTATAAGGCGTTCCAATTTAACGGCGCGTGATGAAGGTAAGGTCCTACAGGGGAGCTTCGCTTAGTGTGCTGGCCATGTTCGTGGGATGTAGATGGCGGCCCGAAGACCATTCGACCCGTGATCATCCCGCATATGGCTGGACCCTGATTATCATTGACAGCCTGCCTAAAGCAGTATGATGGCCGTCCAGGGACTCGGATAAACCGCAGGGTCTAGCTCAGTTTGTGGCAACATTAACTCGCATCGTTCTGCCGCACACACCGGAAATGCAGGCGGCCTGACGCAGGTACCATTTCCTTGGGGGCCAACAATATCGTACCTGCATTTCATCTAATCTTGCTCAGACGCAGCCTCCCGCCAAGGTCTACTTGGCGGATATGGTTGGCTGTTTGTTCTGACGAATGGATGGATCAGTCGGTACATGGCAGACAATTTTTGGAAGTGCTCGTTGAGTTGTAGGTCTTACAGCGAATCCGCTGCCGCTTCTCGCTCGACTATCCTTAATGCCACGGTCTGCTGTTGCACGCTGGCGAACATCAAGTCGTGTATTCCTTCACCCTTCCAAGCTCTCTTTCAACTTATCTATCTTTCAGTATGGCGCCTCATTCTAGGCTGCCGTTCGTCTTCAACACCCTCTTTACCATCTTTCTTCTACCATCACTGGTGACTCTCGTTTTCGGCCATGGAATCAATCACGCTGAAGTCCACCGCCAGATGAAAACCATCAGACAAGCAGATGCAAACAGTGTTCACGTTCCAGTCAACGGAACGACTGAACCCCACCTGGGTAACTCGACTTCGGGGGATGCTGCTGCTCTTGTCGCTGCTGCTCTAGATGCTCTTGCAGTACGCAACAGGTTGCGCCTAGACAACCCGAGGTTCAACAGCTATGAAGTCTTACCAGCCGATATCCCAAGCGCGAACAAACCCACAGATGACAACACTGTCCCATCAATATTGGACTTTGCCGACGTCACATCTAACAGCACTTTGGCAAAAAGAGCGCTGAACTCCACAGGCCCAATCAGCGAAGAAGCCAACCCCGACGGTGGTTACAAATACAGTGTGCCAGCAGAGCTTGTAGAAGCTGCTCGCATCCTCGCTGAGTCGACACCACAACATGTTTCGACTGGCAACCAGAGCGACGTCGCCTCGAAGATCAAGGCTAAGTATGCCCTGAAAGTCAACGATACTAATGCGATGCCTGCCTCCTTCGCCATGACGGAAATGCCATCCATACTTCCTGTTTCTTCTAATGAGACGGCTTCTCTTGAGTCTAGTGGTCTGAAGAAACGAGCGTCCAAGTATTGGATGGCCAACATGCAACAGCTAGGCTCTAGTCCCTTTGCACCCAAGGATTACAAGGTAACTATTCGTGCCATAACCACCTTTGGTCTTACGTTGACAAGATGCAATACAGGTTTGGAGAGACGTGCGCGACTATGGTGCAAAAGGTTCGTTTCCGACTCTCTGGCCCCCAGGAACTTACAGTTGAATGATCGCTAATACTAAGTCTTTTCCAATCAGGTGATGGAGTCACCGACGATACGGGTAAGTCAAAGCTATCATCGAACTCTCATCATGCATTTATGCTTACTCCTTTGTTCATCAGCTGCTATCAATCGCGCCATCTCTGATGGCAATAGATGTGGTGCCAACTGTGGCTCGAGCACTATCCACCCGGCTGTCGTCTTCTTCCCCGCAGGAACATACCTCGTCAGCAGTTCAATCATTCAGTATTACAACACGCAGCTACTGGGCGATGTATGTCTCAAGCAATCATTCTGCGACAAGTCATTTTGACTAACAGATGTCTTCTAGCCAATCGATGTTCCGACTATCTTGGCTGCTTCGAGTTTTGTTGGCCTCGGTGTCATTACCTCCAACCAGTACATTGGGCCAGGTCCTACTGATGAATGGTGAGTGCTAAATCGGGTTCTGAGTTGACGCCATTCTCTGACTTTAGTCCATTCTAGGTATGTTAATCAGAACAACTTTCTGCGAAGTGTGAAGAATTTCAAGATGGATATCACGCAAACACGCTGGGATGCGTACGTATGTGCGATTCACTGGCAAGTTGCTCAGGGTACCTCCTTGGAGAACATTGAGATGCACATGTCTTTCGATGAGAATACTACACAGCAGGTGAGTTGTGCGGCAGGCTTGAGATACACATCGTCACTGTTATCATCCATTGCTGACGTCCTACCAAGGGCATATATATGGAAAACGGTAGCGGAGGCTTCATGAGTGACCTGACCTTCGTTGGCGGAAACTTTGGGTGAGTGGCATCCATACTTATGTTGCACTTTTGACTGATGCATCAAACTACTAGCGCCTACTTTGGAAACCAGCAATTTACAACAAGCCATCTGGTGTTCGTCAACTGCAAAACCGCTGTGCAAGTACACTGGGACTGGGCATGGACGATGCAAGACATCGTTATTGAGTCATGCAAAACAGGTATTGTGATAGTAGGAGGTGTAAGTGCCGACCACTTAAGTTCCCAAACAACTCCGATGCCGATACTGACGTAACCCAGGCTGGCGGTGTCGGAAGCACAGGTCAAGCTGTGGGGTCTCTTGTCCTTGTCGACGCTGTCATCGCCAACACGCCTACCGGAATTATCACCACGCTGTTCAAGGAGAATTCTACGTCTCTTCTTCTTCAGAACGTAGGTTTCTTCAACACGAAGACCGCGGTATACGAAGAAGCTGCAAAGAAAGATCTTCTGGCTGGCGGCAACGAAGTGAAGGTTGAGTCTTGGGGATTCGGTATGCTCAACACGCCTGATGGATCAACTTTTGTCAACGGCCAGAATATCCCCGCCGTCAAGCGACCAGAGATACTCCTTAGCCCAGATATGGCATATGCCGGCCCCAACCTCTACACAAGAAGGCGACCAAAGTATCTCGACATCGGCTCCACCCAAGTGCTCAACGTGAAAGCTCTTGGAGCCAAAGGTGACGGCAAGACGGACGACACCAACACCTTGAACGGTATCTTGGACTTGGGTGCCAGAACTTCGTCTGTAGTGTACATTCCGTTTGGAGTTTACATCATCAAAGACACCCTCAAGATCCCGACTGGTTCGCGAATCGTCGGTCAAGCATGGGCACAGATTATGGGAACAGGAGCAAACTTTGAGGATGCTTCAAAGCCCAGGCCTGTAGTCATGGTCGGTTACAGAGGCGAAGTAGGTAGCGTCGAAATCCAGGACATGCTTTTTACTGTTTCAGGACCCACGGCCGGCGCTGTGGTAGTGGAGTGGAATACGCGCGAGTCCAGCCAGGGCTCAGCTGGTTTATGGGGTGAGTATGGTAGATGTCCTTCAAGTTCTTCTTGTGAGCTAACCTGTATTCCAGATTCGCACATCCGTGTTGGAGGAGCGATAGGATCGAAGCTGCAGAAAAACGACTGCCCTAAGCTGACCGGCACTGTCAACAAGAACTGCATCGCAGCTTCCATGCTTCTGCACCTGACGCCTCAGTCATCCGCATATGTAGAGAACTCGTGGATCTGGACGGCCGACCACGACTTGGATATCGTCTCGCAGGATCAAATCGACATTTATGTCGCCAGGGGTGTCCTGGTCGAGTCTCAGGGCCCGACTTGGCTCTACGGGACAACTTCCGAGCATAACGTTCTATACCAATACCAATTCTCCAACGCCAAGAACATTTTGATGGCTATGATCCAAACGGAATCCTCATACTTCCAGGATGTTCCTAAAGCCCCAGCCCCATTTCAGCTTGGCGGCTTCAGCAACGATCCTTCGTTCTACGACTGCTCTAGTAGCTCATCCAAGTGTGCCGTATCATGGGGCGTACGCATCATTGACTCTGAGCAGATACACGTCTTAGGTGCTGGTATGTTTTCTGCAAAATTTGCTTATCATATAGTTAGCAAGGCTGACCTTACTCCAACTAGGTCTTTACAGTTGGTTCTCCAGGTATTCACAAGACTGTCTCAAAACAGAAGACTGTCAAGATCGCGTCTTTGAGATTGATCAGAGCACCAACGTCTGGATCTACAATCTCTGCACCAAGGCTGTTCGCGAAATGGTCAGTCCCGTCAAGAGCAAGGCCACCATGGCAAAAGACAATCAGAACGGATTTCTCTCTTCCATCCTTGCCTGGGTGCGCAACGGTACCATCGGAGAGCGCGATTTCCCCGGCTTCACCCTGTACAATGCGACTCAAGATGAGGATATGCTCGATGGTCTTTCTGAGGGATGCAAGACGGCATTGACAGGAATCATCAAGTGTGACTACTACGCTACACGCTTCCGCGAGCTCCGATACCGAGGCGCGTTGGAAAGCA